TTAGTACCCACGATTCTGTAATTATTCCCCACGAGAAGAACCACGGTGTGGTGCATTGCCCTTCCCCCCCTCGAAATGAACACACATACACACACACACACACACACACACACACACACACACACACACACACACACACACACACACACACCAGGTTGAGCAGCACATCTGTGTGTTTCACTGGGAGTCCGGCTAGTCCCTGCTGGTTTGCAACAAACAGCTGGGCAGCATGTTAAAAAGCCTGGCATGAACACTGAGCGAACATACGGGTTTGCCACGTCCACATTAATCATAAGGCACGTTACATCAGTGGCCATATTTTATCTGCCATTTGGCTCGATTATATATATCAAAGGGACTGAGAAAAACATCTTCTTGGAAATGTTTATGGAGTATCGGAAGAAGTACTCAATCATTTACTTAAGTAAAGTCTAAAATGACTCCAGTACAATTAACATTCCTGATTTCAATTTTGTATTTTGTAAAATACAAAAGTATATGCATCAAAATATACTTGAAGTACAGAAAGTAAAATTACTCATTCTGCAATGGCCATTTCAGGATAATATACAGTACAGATGTATCATCAGCTAAATGTACTGAGTAAAAGTACTCATTATGAAGAATTTGTATTTTCACAGAATTACATTATCATGGTTATCATATTATCCTGCTTTTAAAAGAATTTTAGTATTGTAGTCAATGTTGAACAAATGTATACTTGAGATATTGTGTAGATTAGTAGTACAGTACTGCATTATGCCGTATTGCCATGTCATGTTTTTATATGTACAAAGTAACTTTGTGTGTTTAGATTTAGATAAGAATAAATTAGCATTAACTGGAAATACTCAAGTACAAATATTAGAGTACTTCATTACGATACATGAGTAAATGTACTTAGTTACTTTCCACCACTGTGTTTATGTTAATGAAATATAGAAGTTGGTTAGTCTAAAATATGCCTATGTTAATTGTAAATAATAAATACTATAGCCTATATCTTATTTATAGGGGTCAAAGTGTCACTAGAAGAAGAAACATCTGTATGTTAATGAATAATAACGTTTGGGTACTCTAGCTCGCCTAAATTAAGGGTAAATAAGGCAGCATATCTTAATTTCAATAACTGACTATGCTTTAAAGAAAAATAGAAAACAACTTCTACACATCCCCTTTGTTTTATTGGCTTGCTACATCAGTGGCCATATTTGATCTGCTTATATAGCTGCACCACCCTACCATTCAGCCCAATTATAGGGGTCAAAGTGTCACTTCACAGGGAGAAGAAGAAGAAATATCTTTATGTCAAAGCATAAAAACATTTGGGTAGACTAAAATTCGAATAAATTCCTGATAAATAATGCAGCCTTGATGTCTTGATTTCAACTGTCTATGCGTTAAAAGAAAAACTAAAGACCTTCTACTCACATTAAATGGTGGAAATGGTGATGGGTGTATTTGCTTGCACCTTGCGCCATCTAGCGGCTGGATGAGTTCTCTCCCTCGGTGCTGCTCGCCCGGCTCCTCGGCTCCTCGGCGCGGGGAAAGAGGGGGGAAGAACCCCACTAGTCTGCTTTTGTCTCCGGGGAGCTGCGGTCGATGCCTCGTCCCACCATATGTCTGATCGCAGCTGCCAATCAACAGGTCAACGCGACCCGGGGGAGGCACACTCTGGTGGGGAGAGATCAAACAGCGGACCTCGGGGATGACAGATGCAGATGAAAAAAAAAATGCAATAAAACATTGCTTCAAAGATGGCAACGGTGCACTAGGAGGCAAATTATTGTTAACAGTAATCTGCAGAATAGCGCCTCGCATTCTGATCGATTGACTATTATGGAGCCTTTGAAGCCGAGGTAACGCCGGGCTATTGTTCATGGTGGGACACAACCAGAAAATAGCAGCTGTTTTTTTCAACTATAGCGCTTCCTAAGCCTTAAATACTACATTTACTTCTGTGCAATCATGCTTTCTAATAGACTTAGCAATTTGGACTGCTCCAGGCTTTGGGCCTATTGAGAGTTTTTCACGTTCAGTTGCAGCACTAAACATCAAAATAAAATCTTACTAAAAGGAGGTCAAACGAACAGTAGTTTTACAGATTTAATTTGTCAATCACGTTGTTATATCCATTCATAACTTTGTACCGTCTACTTAAAAAAGAATTCTTATTTAACTTGAATTATCTAATTTCCTCTCTATCATGGGCTATGTTTTTCTCTGTCTATGTTTTTTTCTACTGACATCAGGCCTTTTTATTATTCTTAATTATATGCAATTTTACAAAATACAGATATTAATATGCTTGTCTACTAAATACAGTACAGACATGTGTTTTTTACAACGTATAGTCTACCTAAAATCGCCTTTACAGCAGCAATAAAACTACATTAAAATGAAAGATGTTATAGAGGTTCATTAGTGCCTGACCAGTTGCACTGCAGAACTATTTCTAAAACAGTTGTAGAGTTGCAATTAAGACATTATTGGTGGGGATGATTTATTACCGTTAGTAGTTTTAATGCACTGCAGCTCTAACTTTCTAGCAGTGTGTTTTGATAAAAGTGTGCTGCGAGACATTCAAACCAATTAATTTAATATTAGGCTGTACCTCAGATGAAAAACTGTGACCATTACATTTTTTTCTTTAAATAATAACTCCCGTTTGTGTATATATCGGATTAATTCAGCCTGGTCATTTTTGAGCATTAAGACTATAAATAAAATCAAACTCTTTTATGTTATTCCAACTACAATGTGTCAGTGTAACCAACAGTGTCACTGAGTTAATTTCATCAATTTAAAAAAAGACAAAAACAGACAGACTCCTTATTCAGTTAATTACATTTGTTTAATATGAGTGTGGTTGAATCATCTCAAACATGCGGCTAACTAAACATATTTCACACAAACCGAGCCACAAGCTGAAAAAACACCTTTTTTGTTGTTGCTGTGTATCTCTTTGATCTATCTACCTTTTCATGTTTTATCCTATGTTTTTACTGCTGTAGTCTATAGTCAAATCAATGAGATACATGTAAGCTAACGGGAGTCAGCTTTGGAATGCTGCTGTAAATGTGTTGGATTAAAACACAGCCATAATGTTTCATCGCCATCTCAGCAGGACTGATCTTCTTACCTCACTCTCTGCTAATCAGGAACAAATCTTTGTGCCTTAATCTACGGCCCCCCTGCACCCTGCCGCCCATCCCATTAGATTAGCAAATGACATGCACATATGAACACACACACACACACACACACACACACACACACACACACACACACACACACACACACACACACACACACAAACACAAACACAGCTTGTGACCTCAATCTCATTTTCGTAGAAATGTAATTAATTATAATGTTGTGTTAGTTTGTCAAACATAAATTGTGTTTTTAAGATCTCTAACAGGAAAAACAATTCCATTTTTAACATATTATTTCAAATGTAGACACAAAAGCACAAAAAAGTACATAATTCAAAACAATATACACTCGTTTTGTTATTTCGATTTGTGGGTCTGTTCGTGTGTGTGTGTGTGTGTGTGTGTGTGTGTGTGTGTGTGTGTGTGTGTGTGTGTGTGTGTGTGTGTGTGTGTGTGTGTGTGTGTGTGTGTGTACACCAAGCATATGCAACCAAATTAAAGCCTTAAAGCTGGTGAATTGAAGAGGATTTGATGCACAGTGCAATTCATGGGAATTAAGCAAATTAGGTCTCCAATTAGCTGCTGACATTGAAGATTTGGTAGACAACATTTAATTAGATGGATCTGTCATTGTTCTAATGAGCATCGCCTGAAAAAAAACCATGAATAACTCCCTCCCTCCCTCTCTCTCTCCCCCTCTCTTAAGCTTTATCCTTCTGACATATTGTTTGTGGGTTTAGAATCTAATTTCATGTCAAATATCGCCTTATTCAAATATTCAATAATTTGCAAATAAGAAGCCCACATGAGCCGAGACAAACAAACTTCAGAAAAGTCAATGTATGACCTAATCCTCTTAGGCTGGAGCACTGTGGATGTAAATGCCAACCTTTGCAAGTCAGAGAGGAATTTCACTATTGATGTGTGAGTCGGACAGGTGGAAATTGACTTCATTCTTAATATGGCAGTATTTTGGAGTCACTTTATAACTGCACTGTTCCTGCTTAACAGACCCTTTAAATTATAATTGTAACTGCAGAATGTCTTTCATTGTTTCACTTGCTTCATGTTTCTACCCCGACTAGTTTAGAGACCCTAAAAAAGCCCTCCCACCTCTGTCCAATAAATCAGCGCCCCCTCCTCTCCCTGCCGCCGTCCCTTTCCTCTGCTTCCTTCATCCCCTGACCTCCTGTGGTGCTTCTCTCTCTGCAGCCGCAGTTATGGATTACACTGTGTGATAAGCTTCCTATTTCTTGAAACTATTTCGGATTGCTCAGATTATCTGGCCTCATATCCTTGGGAGTCGGCTTTGGAAAGCCCGATTTTAGTCTCTTAAGGCAAAAGATTTTGCATCCCGACAGCTTTGAGTAATTAGCATCTAACACCGGGTGGTATTCTAGCATTGGGATCACTTTTAGTGGTATCTGCACTGCAAGTACACACACACACACACACACACACACACACAC